CTGGGAGAGAGGGTGGAGGATGGGGCCTGTTTGATTCGGCCGAATTGATTCAGGACAGTGATTCAAATCACCGAATCGAATCACTGATCCCTGAATCAGCCAAATCTGAATCCAAAGCGAATACTAGCCACTTCACAGAGGCTTACAGGATACGTTACTTGGGTTTCTGGATAATCTTCGATGAAAACTAGTTTTACATTGCATAATTTGATGACTGAGTCTTGCTTGTGTTTATTGGATGATCTGATCACATGTTAATATTACTGTTAATTTATTAACTGATTTGAACTAATATGAATACAGATCTAAGCTCTCTTTCAATAATATAACAAGAGTCACCAAGTTCTTGAATCACCATGGCCACATCCACACATGTAGGCATGTGCAATCTGTGGTGCCACAAACTGCACGTGTTGCATGTTAAACTGTGCATGGCGCTGATAATTTGCAGCGTGGGGGCAAAATTTGCTACTGGAATTTCTTGGTAGCAAAAAAACCAACTAACTAACCAAGCAACCAAACAAAAAACCAGGGGGAAAAAGTCGCACAAAGCATGCAAAAATAGCAGTGTCACGACGAACACAGAGATGGGGGAGCCCCTGCACTGAGGTACACTGTGCCCCAGCCAGCGCCACTCCATGGCTGGCTGAGGCAGTGTGCCTCAAGATGGGGGAGCAGGCAGCCCTGGGCTAGCTCCTCCCATCTCCATGTATCTCAGCCCAGGGCTGCCTGCTCCCCCATCTCTGCATGCTGCTCTCCGGCTGGCTGGGGCACAGGGTTCCTCAGCTTGGGTGCTTGGAAGCACACAGAGATGGGGGAGCAAGTAGCCTTGGGCTGCCTTCTCCCATCTCCCCGTGCTGCTCCCCAGCTGGCTGGGACACAGGGTGCCTCAGCACGAGGACTGCTTGCCAGCTACCCTGCACTGAGGCACCCTGTGCACCAGCAAGCCTTATCTTGCAGCACATACAGCCCAGCCAGGAGCTGGGAGGAGCTGGGCACAGGCACTGCCCACAGTGGGACAATGTGTCCCACAATAAAGGGCACATGAACGGGTGTGCTCTGCCACACAAGGCAGAGGAACAAATTTGTGCCACTACTACTTGTGCCGCTGCAAGTACACGCCCCTGCTCATCTGGACATGACTCATGAGTCACCAACCCTAGAAGGCTGAAGGTACTCCCAGGTGATAAATTTGCAAGTCGCCTAAGTCTACTTCCAAATTCACATGCCAGTACGTCAACCAGAGATAAAAATCTAAATGTTCCAAAACTTAAAATGCTTCCAAGTTTTTAAAAGGACAGAGATAAGATATTCAGATGAAATAGAAATAGATATATATTTTAAAAGTGACAGCTGAAGAACAACCTCCATGATTTTTATTAATAGAGTTGTGTGTACAACTCTCAGCTCAACACAAGGAATCTAACTCATGAATAAGTTTCTTCAATTACCTCCATCTGTCTCTCCAGTCTCCTGAGGACTACCAACTGGATCATCCCACGAATGTTCCCTTCCATAGACATGGAACGCCTCAATGTCTCCATGGCTTCATGGTTTGATTTCCCCAGAAGAGATTCCCCATTCACTGCAATCAGCTGGTCATTTATCCGCAGGCGGCCATCCTGCATGAAGCAAAAATAGTAAAGGACCAGTGTGTGGGACACAATATCCAGGAAAAATAGATGCAATCAAGCATTTATTTCTTAAAAGCTAAATTCAACTCCCTGTAAACATTGAGATGTTCTAAAAATCCTGTGTGGCACTGGTTGGCCAATATTTGCTTTTTAATCACACTGTTTTTGAAGAACAGTTAATGAGGCAGTTAGAGAAGTATAAATGCTACTCTGTTGCACAGGCACTCTACACTATAATTTGTATGAGTCCCAAACTGAAAAATCAGAATATCAGCTGTAAGTTAGAACATATGAACCACATTTGTTAATATCTCTGATGTGCAACAAAAAATGAATCTTGCAACTTATCTAAAGTATTGTGCATCTGTTTTCAGGATCTATTAAGAAATATATACAGTTGCACAAATTATTCAGTCTCATACATGTACTGGTGCTGATATTGCCACAATACTTATGCCAGCCTACAAGAAATATTCTCAATTTAGAATGGTCATGAAGACATAAACATCCATATTTCAATTAAAAGCTTTTCATCTATAATTTTAACAGTGAAACTGTTGCCAACAGCAAAATTGAGGTTGTGCCATCTTAGAGTGGTTTGTGTTTTTTGAAGAAAGCTATTTGCTTTCATTGCCAGGATTAACTGACAGTTGTGGACATAATACAATTGTGCACACTGTTATTTTCTGGGTTTAGCAGGCCAATTCCTGTATTTATTAATAACTGTGACTGGTTCTTTTTCATATATGCATGCATCACAGAGCTCTTTCTCTTTAAAAATTATAGAAAGATAGAAATAAATTTTGTTTATTAAGAGGTGAAAGTTTCTTTTAGAGCTTCCTCATTTCACAATTATCAAGTTGTATCAGACCATTGAAAGAAGGAAGAAAAAGGGTATGAAATGGGGAAGAGATGAATGAATAGCAGGAAAGGAAATGGACTAGAAAAAACATTATCTTGCTTAATATGATTTTGATTCAATCATAGGCTCATTATGTATTCTTCATAAGGCACTCGTCAGAACTGTTTACATATCTCATATATCTGAGTAATCCAAAATATATATACTTTTCAATTCTTATTTTTTCTATCAGAATGATGTTCAATTAACTCTTCTAGTATTGCCGCCAAGTCTAACTAAATGATTTGTGCTTAAGGACTTAGAGTTGCGGTGACAAACCCTTTTTTCTTAGGTACTGTTTTTACTGGCACTGGGGATCATCACTATTGCCACAGCAGCACATGAATAGTAAGCAGTGCCATAGGATTAAAAGAAACAGCAAAGGCCAGAAAAGGAGAACAAACAGGGAGGCAAAAGATGATAAAGGAATGAATTGGAAGATGAGTCAAATAATGAGGGAGGGTAAAGAGATAGGAAATAACAGTACCATTTATGAGGAAGATTCTGAGAAAAACAAACTACTATTTCAACGTAACCTTTCATACAGTCAAAGAAATTATGTTAACCCCACTCTTCCACTGCATGCAGAAACAGTGCCTTAGGATATGTGAAAGAAAAGAGAGAGAGAAGAGTTAAGATTGTTGGATAGGGAATTTTATTACTTGCACATCAGTCACAATTCCTTTGTGACTAAAATTCACTGAAATGAATAAAGTCATTCATTGCAGTGGGAGTTGGTGGAAAGAAGATTTGCTTTTTGTGAGCCTCTGTAAAATGTCAAAAATTTTAAAGAGTCCCTCATATCCTCCATCTAAAATTCCACTGCCCTATGATGAACTTTCCCCCCATTTTGTGAATAAGTTCTCCTGCTTAAAGATCTGTTAAAACTACTAGCAAAAGTATGTTCAAGTATACACAAGAGTTTTTTAAGTGTACCTTGGCACAACAATATTAAAAATACAGAGTTATCATAATAAGGGTCACCTACCAGTGGATTTAAAGCCTTCATAACTTTCCTGTTTTAGAAGCTTGCCTTGTCATTCTTTCTGTTTTCTGTTTAAAATGTCTTTAATTGTTTCTGTATTTGTATGATGTCAGTTCTTAAAAGCTCTTTTGACCACTTTAAAATGCTCAACTTAAATGCAAAACTCACGAGGAAAAACAAAGCAGGCCAATATCCTTTACAATCACAACAACCAAAACACCTCACCATTGTTAACAACTGGAAGACAAGCTGAACACTGTTTTTGGAGGGGACTGGAAGTTATTTAGTACAAAGTTTTTCTATGATTTTGAAGACTGGAAAAAATCTTCAGACTCAGATTTGCATATCATTGGTGTTATGGCCCACACTAGTACCCACACATCCAAGATAATTCACTTGGCTCAAGGTAAGCTAAGTGATTGTTTCAACAGGGTAAGTGGACAGGCGTTGATTCTACCAGGAGAAACTCTCCTGAAAGTGACACCTTCTGGGTTGGAGATGGTATATTGTTGTCCTAGAATTGCCATTTTTTGTGGGGGAGAAACCATGTGAACATTTGTAAGCTCATGGTTACTACTGGGAGAATAGTTATTCTCCCAGCAGGGAATCCCAGTAGGGAAGCAAAGCAAGAAGTAAATTCCACCAAATCCTTGGCTGCAAGGTACTTAGTTTTTGAATTCTACTAATGATCATAGAACTATATCCCTCTAATGGAGTTTCCCATCAAAAGAACAATCTAGCCATCTCCTTGGCAGACTCACCATTTCCCCCTCGACTCAATATGGACTTCTTAATGGCATTCAATACAGTCAATTTTGCTTCCTGGCCATCCCATTCAATGAACTGTCATTCATATTTGGTCCTTTAGAAGTTAGACTTGGGCCTAACTGTGCTAGTAGTGCTGCATGTTCATATAGGGAGAAAGAGTCTCTCCCTCTTTGTGTAAAGTTTATAGCAGTGGTTCTGCTACATTTCTTTTTGGTGATGTATTTGTGAGGACCACAATAAAGTGTTCTGCCAGAATGTCATAATGCAAGCTAAATTAAAAACAGTGAAATTACAGAATGTGGTGATACATGTCCAGTGATCACTTTAGCAACTCAAATTCAGATGAAAGGTGTTATTACTAAAATCGTATAATATTTGGAAATAGCTATTATAGCAGAAGATTAAAAAAACCCACAAGAAAGGAGGTAGATGTGGGACATAAAGGTACAATCATTGAGTGTAAAAATGATTTAATTCTATAGAGTTCTATAAACCTACTAGATTCTCATTATGATTATAAAGACATTTTTTATTTCACCATTTTGTGGCAATCAGGTGCCACAAAAATATCATCTTGAACAGGGGTGGGCAATTATTTTGGGCAGAGGGCCACTTACTGAGTTTTGGCAAGCCATCAAGGGTCGCATGACAGGCAGCCCAGGGCAGATGAATAATAATTTTCTAAATATTTTAGGGGCTCCACAGGCTGGACAGAATGGCCTGGCGAGCCTCATCTGGCCCTCGCGCTGCATTTTGCCCACCCCTGATTTTGAACATATACTCCCATTTTCCATTTCAGAAATTATCTGAAGATCTTAAAAAAAATTCCCTTAATTTTTCACAATTTGTATTACGGGACTTCTTTGAGGCTTGCTAAAACCAAGGGCAGTAGTGTGAAGCCAGTGTGCTGAAATTTTGAAACAACTGAAAAATGCTGGCCTGTTTTCAGACCCTTTATACATGGAGTATAACAGATAATGGCAGCCAACCAAAATGTTTGCATTTTATACATAAATTTATACATTCCTTTCATTCTCAAAAACAGAGATTGATGAAAAAAGATACTAAAATCTGGTGCATTAAAATCATTTGGTCACTATAAGAAGGATTGTAGGATTACATCTATTGCAATGCTTAGACAAATGTGCTGGTTTTCTTCTACCAGTTGTGGTCTGTAAAAGGGTAAGAAATAATCTGATGGCTTCAAGCTGATCTGCAAACTCTGAATCCATGGGATTCAAAAGAAACTGTAATCATATGGGTAAAGATGGTTTTCCAAAACCGTAACATCTAATAATATAACTAATAAGACCATGGAGTTGAGTCATCTGTCCTGTGGGGCTCTTCACAGATCTGGAAATTTGGCAGTGGGGGAGCGATGGCAACAAGCTACCACTGCTACTCCACCACCAAATTTCCAAGTCCCGCGGGCCAGATGACATGGTCCCGTGTGCTGGATTGAGTCACCAGGCAGGGCCCAGGCCCCAGTTCTCCAGTATGTGGAACAGGGGGTGGGTGTGTAGGGCAGAGAGGGTGGGGTGTAAGTCAGGGGGGCATGAAGCAGTCCCTTGCAGGCTGGAACTCTGCCAGCCTGCAAGGGAAAAGCCATGGTTTCCCACATTTTTCTCCACTAAAGGAAAATCTGTTTTGAAAGTTTTTCGTGACCCTTTCATATATTCTTGTGATCCACTTTTGGGTCACAAATCACGGGTTAAGAAATGCTGACTTAGGTGACTATTGCCATACTTACACAGGAAGCTTAATTTGTACATCCTACTCTCTCTCAGATGCCTGGTTTAAGGCTAAGGCTGTGTTGGGTTGCCAAATACGAGAACAGTAGTAAACATTTTCAGACACCCAACCACCTGTGTTTCCTTTTGGCTAGCTTACATGCTCCCTTGCTCAGCTGCTGTCTGTTGTTAATCCCAGTCCTAGGTAGCTAACTCTCCCCTCCACTGTATGGAAAATTTAGATGCCTAACTCAACAGCCATGATTTTCATCCCAGAAGCCAGTCCCTGCTTAGGGAGCACCAATCTCAAGTGGCCTTTTCCAAGCTATTCCTTGACATGGGCAGTGCAGTAATACAATGAAGTTGTTACCACTGTCGTGCATGCCAGAAACATATTGTAGGAGCAGCCACGTTGGAAGTCCCTGGAGTGGTTTCACCATTGCTTTTCCAACTTTGGCATATGCACGTGGGAATGGGTGGGCAGGTTGTGCTTTGGATACTGTTTGGGGCTCAGTTACACAGAGTCAAACTGTTACTGATTAAAATCTATGAAAATCCTACAGAATTCAACTACAATTCACTTATTCCTTCAGTACTACCTTATATAGTGATTTCTCATCCCCAAGGTACTGTGGGAAGCAACCAGATGTGGGCGGAGAAACCAAAATAAACATAAGCAGTGGCCCTAGAATGAAAGATAGTATGTGTATTTCTCACCTTATGTTCTTTATAGTTTCACCCTCCACAAATGGAAATATACTGTGATAAACAACAGAAGTAGAAAGAGTTGGTGCAGGAAATATGAAGAATGTGAAAAGAACTATTATGTTTTTTACATTTTTAAATATCTGTTATGTACTCCTAATTACGCCTGTACTCTCATGCTACAAAATATTAATAATAAAAAAATGCTGTAAACCCTCACAATTACAAATTGGAATGTAAAGTTAAGAGGGGACAGCAGCTAGCTGCTGCAGCAAGCAGCTGTCTATTGCACCAGAGGAGGGCAGGCTGGCTATCAAGCCCAAGTGGAAACCCCTGTGTGTAGCTGGGGATCCACATGCTGGGCTTTGGGGCACAAGCAGGTGGTCTGCCCCAAGAGAAAAAGGCTGCTAAAGACCAACAGGCAGGCACCCGAGCTACCCTAGGGCACTGGGGTGAGAGGCCTCCAAGGGAGGTATAGCTTGCAGGCAACCTTAACCCTGAATGAGGAAAACTTTTAGTTTATGAAGCAGCTTCTTTGCATTTATGTTATGTTTTGAGCTTGAGACTGGAGGACCAGGTTGTGGCTATGGGGGAGCCGTGGAGCACATGGAGGGGTGCCTGGTGGGGCACTCAGTGGCAGGCAGCCTAGCTTAGGGATCAGGGACCAGAGGGATGAGGCAGTAAGAGCAACCTGGCCTGGGATCAGGTACCCAGAGGACCAAGGCTGAGATGGTGAGAGCAGTCTGGCCTGGGGGAGGGACCCCAAGGCCTGAGGGCTGGCCCAGAGCATGTGATGGGGGTTAGGGGTTCAGAGCAAACACGTGCAAGATGGGGCCGAGGCCCAGAAGCCAAGGTCTGGGGCAGTGGACCTGGAGTGCAAGGTGCAGCCAAAATAAAAAGGCCAGGGCTGGGAAGGCTGAGGTTCAGGACCTGAGAGTTCAAAGCTGCACTGGGCCATAAGGTTCCCTTCAAATGAACACCAACAAACATCTGTGAGGCATGGGCATGACTACAGGGGAGGACAGAGGCCACGGATCTAGCCCATAATGCACCTAGTGCCTTGAGGCACCAATAGGGGCAGAGGGCCGTAATTTTGGGCCTGAGGTGCAACACTGGAGCCAGACAGGTACAAGAGATACCAGCTGGCCAAAATGAACACTTTGGGACCCTGAGGCAGCCTCCCGTAACATCACAACAGTACTGCGGCATTGCACTGGTTGTGCCTGCCACTTTAAGACCATCAGGTAGGCTGTGGAGCAACTGGTCGGTGGGTTCAAGCCCAATTATGTAGTCACTTGACTGCAGGGGGCCACCTGATTGGAGGACGGCTGGGTATAAGTTCAGACCCTGGGAGCAGGGCTGGCAGTTACATCTGGGGAGCTGGAGAAGTAACATTGTCCACCCTGAAGACTGCAGCTCCTGTAACACCCAGAGATTTAGGGTAGGAACTATGGGGATGGAGGAGGTTCCTTTTCATACTGGGCAAGACTTGAAACTGCATCCTGCTGGAGCCGGTTAATGTGGTGGTACTGGTAGTGGCGGGGCAGCCTCCAAGAAATGCCACATGTGTGCCACTCCAGGGGAAAGTGAGGATGGGGCACTGGAAAGCCTCAGCCCCCCACTGCCTTGTGGGTTACCCAATGGAGGGGGAAAGGCTAGGGGAGCACACACCGGCAGAAAAGCACTATGGGGCCAAGGGTTCACTGGGAGGGACCTGAGGCCTGAAGGGCAAGAGGCCCAGAGAGGGACATCAGGCTTGAGGGGAGAGGTGTCCAGAGAGGGGCCAAGGCCCAGTGTGGGGCCTGAAGCCTACAGACAGGGAAGTGTGGCCCAGTGAGGGGTCAGAGGATGAAGTGTGGCCCAGCGAGGGACCAAGGGTCTAAGGCTGACCAAGTGGGGCTTGAGGCCTGTGTGGCCAGAGGCCAATTGTGGCCCAGTGAGGGGCCGGGGGAGTAGCATGGAATATAGGATGCCATCTGCAATGCATGGGACATGGTGTAGGGATGGCTCAGAGCTGTGTGACTGACCCAGTATACCAGGGCCACAAATGGGGCAGTCTCCTGCATTATAGATCCATTTATATCAAGGTGTGGCAGGCCACTGCAGGGGCAGAGTGCCCTAAAACAGGGGGGTGGGATCTATGTTTTCCGGTGCTCGGAGACCCCCCTGTTACAAGTACCTCCTTGTTACAAGGTGTGGCAGGAAAGGAAAAGGGAAGGTTCCCTGAGGAGCTGGAGCAGGGAGGTAGGAGTTGCATGGCCACCAGGGGGCTTCATGGCCACACTTGGGACGTGACCC